TAGGGATCTTTTGCATTTTTATCAACCTCCGACTATTTTCTGTGAGTGTTCACTGTATGCAAAAAAGTAAGGAAGTGTTGAAATTGTCTAGTGGTTTTCAGACTTTTGTAGTTAAAATATCTCCAAGTTTTCAATAATGGTGGCATTTCGGTGAATAATTTGTAAAGATGTGTAGTGATTTGTAAACATATACCATATTAAACATTGCTAATTGTAACATTGTTGCTGCTTTGATATATTTACACATCTAAACTTTAATTAATATCCATACAGAAATATAATGGCTTTCAAATTATTAACATAGAGATAATGATTTCCTAATATCTGTATTTAAAGTTTAATTTTAGGTCCATAAAAAGAATGAAATCATTCAAAAACATAATATAAACTTAATCTTGTCGTTTTTGGGTAGTATAAGTAGCTAAGTATTTATCACAGGGGTTAAATAACAAACCAATGACGTCATAACTATTGATCAAATATTTGCCGAGTGAAAATTAAACATGACGAAAATTCAGTACAACAAATATATGAAATTGGAGTGCTAAAGCATATACCGTGAATGTCATGTGTGATTCATAAGGAATTAAAGATTTAGGTACGCTGATTTATTTTCATAATGTTTTCTTATAATGAACACAGGCAGTTTTTTTAAAATCCCGAACAGCCTTACCTGTGTCGGTCTAATAACAAAGATGCAAAAGTTCAACACTAGACCACATACTTTGAAACATGATTTTTGTTTGTATCGAAAACTTGTATTCTATAATACTTGTACTTTTTTTTTATTTTTAGACTTTCGTAATAGAGTGCTTCTTTAAGCCTAAGACTCAATGGCGTCTATACAATGGATAATAATAATAAATGTTTTATCTATGGCTTTTCCGATTTATCAATGATACATTTTACGAAAAAAGTCTATGGTCGATACAATGACCTTGTCAGTAAAAACTATTTACATACGTACCTTTCAGTGAAATGCTCACTGACTTTTTCATACTAATTGTTAGGTCATTATTTACACACTGGATTGATGCCGGATTTTTCCGTTATTTCCCGATCATGCAAGGTACACACAGCGGTTATGACCGGTCGGCAGCGGATGCTCACTTCTCCATTACACCTGATTCCATCTCTGATCTTTTAGAGGTCCGTGTTAGCTCTGCTCCTGATTTATATTGTTTGAGCGGACTTTTGAGCTTGAATATTGTTTTTTTATTTCCATATACATGTATTTCAGTGAAGGAGACATTTTATGAGTTGTAATATTCAAACAATATGACAGATTAAAGTCTAGGGTATTTGACATCATACACAGCTGCTTTTTCCAAAACAATGGAACTCGTAAGTTTACTCATCCTGTCAATGATCATAACACCCTATTCCTACATTACCTGCATATTGAGTTTATGTCCTTTGTATGATTCAATATGCAAGAGCACTAATTTATAAATAAATTTCTGCTTAAGGCTCATTGAAACTCTGATAAAAGGGATCACTTTTAGTGACACAAGTGTATTTTAATCCTTTACAGATGATGTCAAGTTGAAATTTCTTTTTTGTTAAATTTTGCCCCTCAAGGTATGGTATAATTGTTTGTATTTTACTTATAAAATACATATCTTTCGGAAAATCATGAAAGTTAAAGCAACATTTCATATCAGTGATCCGAGGGTTTATAAATCTTAATAAATCATACGTATGAAATATATTGACATTCATTTAACGCTGATTTCTACGTTTAATAAGTGTTTTGTTTACTATTTGCACTTAAATTTGGTTCCACTAGATGTCTGCTCTCTCTCTCTCTCTCTCTCTCTCATGTCCTTGTTTGCTTACTTCTTGCTTCTGTTGCTTCGGTGTCTTTCTTTTCTTGTTCATGTGGATAAGTAGAACGTTTCGGGTAATGTAAGTCTAAAGATCAGATTAATATTCTTACACATGTCTGCGCATCTGTGTACATTTTCCAGTTTTTCTCTCAATATGAGATCCCTACTATACAACAAGTGTTATTATTTCATTTGTGTATTAGATTTTAAAATTATGAAGACAACTAACATTTAAAAATTGTAACTGCTTTGTTACTGAAAAGTAACAGCAGTAAATATCTAATTATATTCTTTAAAAAAATATATCAACAAAAACCTCTGCAGAACGAATTTTATTAAGGTAACAAAACCAAAAGAAAAAAAAATCATCTTCATGTGCGCTTTATTCGTATACTGCATTCTTAAGTTTTAAAAAAAGTAAAACAAGAATCAAAGAGACAGATTTATACTAACATGAATAATCAAAATTTTTATTCTTCGTTAACTAAAGTAGATCGAAACGAAAGAAATGCATCAAATTAATGATTATTTTGATGTTGCAATGAATCGTATCCGTGTTCTCCTCGTGACTGTCTGCTTGTATCCAGTTCAGTATACATATCTGTAGAAATCTTGAGGTCGTTTTTCCTAGGATTTATAAAGATATGCATAGATATGTGACAAATGACTCGTTCTTAACAATATCATTCAATTTGAATTATTATTTTATTTCTGTCTTCTATTATTTTATTCTCCTACAAGTATACATGGAATAGATATTTAAACTGATCAATCAAATATTACGTCCTAAATTTGCAGCTTAAAGGAAAAAAAAATCAGGGATCTAACACAATGTTTACATGAATTTAAGTGAGGGTTAGTTTTCCTACCTTGTTCGTAATCTGTTGAAGAGGGTTATATTCATTAATATTGATAAAAGAGATATCACAGCCAAAACTGCCAATAAAATCACCACAAGTGTGTTCGTAGTACAATCTATATCGAAAATAGAATGCAAAATTTGAAAATTAACTTTTAGGTCAGAATTTCACAATTTAATCCCCGAATCAAACTATTTTATTTCTACTTTGATGAAATGAAAAATTGTCGTTGTACATCCCTTGCAAGAATTTTTCACCCTTTGAGACGTCATCATGAACCAGTGAAGGACTTCAAGGGTAGAACTTGACCAGTCACTAAAGCCCATTAAATAGTTAAGTGTCTTACTAGAGCAAACGCTTTTCGTGATACGGGATTTTGAATTTGACGGTCTCGTCCAAAAGATCCAAGACTTTCTCTTCTAGTACTGGACACTTGGCCAAAGAACATTCACAACCAATGTGGATGTCCTGGATTTAAAATGGCACTTGGAAGGAGAGCCCAACCCCAATACTTATCGATCAAACAGCAGGCGCCTTACCTTTAGGCTACAGCGACCGTTTAAATAAAAGGGAGAATTGACATAATGATCAAAAGAAACATATATCATTTTTTACGTACATGTATGTGAATTTTGCAAATAAATTCTGCTTCAATAGATAAAAACAGGTCGGCTAATAAAGAAGGGCAATGAGTGCCCAACGGGATTTGAACAGTTTGTTAGAAGACTTTGTCTAGGAAGACAGAATAGCGTTTAATAGACTAAATTTTAATATTGTGTGAAAATTGATAACAAAATGAATCTTGCGTGGCATGAAATGTTTCCCACGTATTGATATTTATAAGCATGAAGAGTGAAAAATATGATCAAATGTTTGAGAAAAATGATATTCCCATGAATTATTTTGCACATATAAAATGCTTGTATTCGTCGCATGCTTTTGTCAGGTACATTTGGAAACAATTCGATTATTTATGTAAGAAAATATAATGCAGAATTGTGCAATGCAAACTCGTTGAAACACAATTTCGGTAATACTTAAATAAATTATCCTTCACTGTCATTTATTCACCCAGGTCATTATGTCAATATGTAGATTCGGTAGATATGCTGTGGCCTCAACTCGACTTTTAGATTTATTGACGATAACAATAGTTAGTTTCATTTATTTGCGGACTCTGTATATCCCAGTGAGCTTAGAACCACAGAGGTTGATACATCTGTTTCATATTTGAATATTTTAATTTATTTTAATAGAAAAAGACGTTAACGGAATCTAACAAAAACTTTATGATAAACGTGATGACTTCAATCTTTTATCGCCAACTTCCCTTGTCAATAGGCAAGGGCATTCTCATTGAATTTCTAAAACGAAGCAAGCTATCGACAATTAAGTTGATGAATCAAAGATATTAACAGATGGGTTTAAAGTCAACATTTAGTCAGTTATTTGGTCGATATATTGAATTTGTCGGCAAGTATAATCCATCATTTAGTCGAATGCAGAATGCGGTTTTCATACCAATTGTTATACCATTATATACACATTGACTTGTCTACCTATTTTTCTGTTTGCCCGACCATGACAAGGAGCAAACTGTTGCAGGGGATACTTACTCTTCAATGGCACGTGGTCCTGCCTCTAATTTTTTAAGGTCCGTGTTTGGTCTCCTCTTTATTTTTAATACTTTAACGATCTTTTAAAGGACAAGATAGGCTAAGACACCTTTTTGGCCCCTGGTTTGGGGTGTCTTTTTGAATGATGCAACAATTTATCAATAAAAACCTGTTAACACCCCTTCCACAAAATGATATTGGTTCCAAGTTATGGGATATACAGAGGTCACAGGAAGGTCAGAAATTATGTCAATTTCCGAATTTTCTCACTTTTATGCAAATTTCCATCAATTTTACATCACATTTTGTTGCAGAAAACATAGAGCACAAACTTACGTATCAACCAAATTTATAATTTTCATACACTAGCATCAGATACATCTTGTGTATAAAAATCTCAGATAGGCAAGCTTGCGCTCTTCGTTTCCCGAAGCGAAAAGTATCTAAAATTTGACGAAATTCCACCAGAATTGAGGAAATTCGGAAAAATGTCCTACTTTTGCACCCTATTGTGGCCTCCATGTAAGCTTTGAAGCAAAATTAGTACTAGCTTTAAAACAAGCATCATTTTAAGTTCTTTGTTATAAACTATAACAATTTTAACTGTGTTCTGATTTTTACATCATATAAGGGGTCAGATTCTGCCGTTACCATACCTTGTCCTTTGAGTACTGTCCATTACTTCGATATTACAATTACGGTAAGTATTGTTCCTGACACTTATACGTACATGAAGAAATACATATTTTATTTGTTGATTGGATAGCAGTTGAACTATTGATAAGTTCTTCATCCAATACAGTTATGCTTGTAGATGATCTTTGAACTCCACAAGACACAGAAATAGTGCCGTTGAATGTGGCTTCTGAAAGAAGTAAAAAAAAAAGAAAACTATCTTTTAAGAGGAGAAGACTCCTAAACATTTGAAAAATGCAAGTTTTATGACGTTTCCTTGAAACAAATCTATAAAATTTTATTGTAGTTAAAAATCTACAAACCTTCAAACACGTAGATGGGTTGATGAAACGTCCCAGTTGTGAAGTTGACAGGTTTGGATATTATATGAAAGACATCGTCATTGGTAACATTGTAATAAACAGATGTCCTACCATTTCCACATGGGAGATTAACTAATTCATCGGGTCTTTTATTATCGTAAATGTTGATCTCCATATGACATTTGAATTTAATAGCATCGGATGCAAATTGTAATGTTCCCGAAAAGAGAGGTTTTATCAAACAGTCGCAGTGCATATCCATTTTCTGGTAATTAAAGAAAATCACGGATCCAACTCTTGCTTTGCCATCACAGGTTACGATCTCTACTGTACTGGCAACTGGAAAATGAAATGGATCTTTAAAAGATTTCCAATAGGTGCAGGATAAAAGTAAGCAGCTTAAAGGTACTGGAAGGAACATTATTGTGTAAAGACAATTAAGCCGTGGCCAGTTTTATTGTGTAAATCTCAATTATAATTTAAAATAAATACCCTGGAAATAATAAATTGAAAGAGTATTTTTTTATCAAAGTGATTTAGAGGATTTTAAAAGATTTTAAAAGTCCTAGCTAGCGAAACGATGAATTTGTTGCTTTATTTTTTCTTCACTGTAGGGATAATGCATAAATTTATCAGTACTTTCCCGATTCCTTTTTTTTTTTTTTAAATGAGATTAAAAGAAACTCCCACTTTTGTCATAGAAAGAATTATATCAATATTTCCACATCTGTTCATATTAGGATTTTAAATTGAACACATTAGGAAGGAAATAATACATGCATTATTTTCTGCACTTTGTATTTATTTTAGATTTATCATAATCTCTTAAGTAGTAATTATAAGTGTTTTACCCAACAAAGACAGTGTTCTTTAGTTATGTTTAAATAATTACAGAATAATACAGGTCTCATTGATGAAATAACGGAATGGCTGATTTTAATTAAGGCGTTTACAATGTGAAGTGCAATACAGACTGAAAACAATCATGTCTTAGGGGTTCATTTCCTTATAGATATTTCAACTGAGTTACAAGTCAGATAATTGTTAATTAACTATTACGTATAATAAGACATTCATGTATAATCGTATTGCAAATTCAATACTTTAAAAGGATCTTCAAAAGAATAACTCACCGGGTGGTAATTGTTCGATGTTGTACAGCAATATTAGGGATAAGCGAATAACAAATGTAATAGACATGACATACAAGTCCTTCTTTAAAATAAATGAACACTTTAAGTGCCTAAGAATGTCATTAAAGATAATTTAAAGCCCGATTTATAACTTCTAAAACACTAAAGGATATGATTATTCGGTTTTCCTATTTTCTTTCATTACCAATTTCCCACACCCCTTTCCTAATTCACTTTTCAGCTTGACGCACTTTGTAGACTCGGAAAAAAAAACAACTTTTTTTTCCTTCTGAACGCAATTGTTCATATCCTTTTCTGAGGCATGAAAACTTAGTTTTACGATGATAAACAGCCAAAGGAAGTCGCTGTTGAATAATAGGATGTACATGATAATAGGATGTACATGTACGTGTGACTAAAAAACTGACGAAGTGAAGTGCTTTTATTTTTTTTTTTCCATTTTTATTACTTTGTGATTTATTATTGTTATTACTCTTAAACTTATTTTAAAGAAATATTTTTTTTATTAATTGAATTCATAAAACGATTTTATATTGTAACTGACGCTACCTAACTTATTTGATAAACTGTATTTTGCTTTTTTTCACACGGTAATTCATTAAATACACCAAATGATTCTTTCTCCTAGTCAAGCAATTGTATTGATGGTGAATCCAGATATTTAGTCAAAACAGACATACGTATCTTACTTATTGATTCCTACAGAAGCCTAAAGGTCTCTACACTTGCTGTGTTATATCTTTTGTATATTATCCTACTTTATATTGTCTTATTAACATAGATCTGTTATGATTTCTTTTGTTTTTCTTATATATAGCATTGGATCTTGGTATTTTCACATAATTCAAAGCGCCTTTTCTGTATGATGGACTTTATTGCTAAAAGATATATTGACTTAAAAGAATATTGATTTGAAAAACATTGATTTAAGCATGAGAATTAAAGGTATCTATGTAGTTAGCTCGGCACACAACAAAAAAAAATATTTGCATAATAGTTAAATTAATATAAATATGCTAGTATTTATATTGGAAAAAGTTTGAAAATGTTGTTTTCCAACTTATTTCGCGGGCGCGGGAATTCTAATGAAACGTCAAATCACTCAGATTTATTGACGGCAAATGCACAATGTGTCATATGTAAAGTGTCAAATGTTTGTTGTATGATTATAGAGAAAAACGTATTGAAGAAGATGGGGTGAAGGGGGGGGGGGTATGATCAGTTAGATTGGCCCCATTATAGCAATAATCAATATACATCATTCTAGTTAATAAGAAATTAAATATATTTGCAAGTCTAATAATAATTTAATATTTTTTTAATGAATACTATTCATCACTCTCTCTTTGAAATAAAAATTATGTGCTTACAAAGTATGAAAAATTACACAATTAAATATCGATGTAACCAAAATAATTAGTAAACTACAAAAATTTTACACGACGAAAATCGGCGTTTTAGCAATACTCTTTCGTTTTATTTTTAATTACTTGCCGCAAAGTACAGATTTATTGTTTTTACGCTTCGTCACGGTACATTGGTTCTCATCGGTGATAATTGATTTTCTTTCAACAATTGTTGAGAAGACTCGTTGGTTATAATAATTTGAAAATATCAAACCATTCTATCTTGTAGTTTTTAGATAAAAACTTTTATTAGAGTGAACACTAGAGTATATAACCTGTATGCTTGTGTATCATATGATGTTGGTTGAAAGCTCCAGGTGCTTACGCCTTGACCCTGAATAAAGATTATCGTGCCACAAAAATTAAGTAAATTTACTTATCAAATTGTTGTTTGAAAAACCTTCCTGTTATTGCGGAATGAACTTCCTATGAAATATAAAGCAAAGGGGTAAGAAGATTTAACAAAGCAAAAATTAATTTTAATTAAAAAAATATAAGCATCTTTTTCGAATATGATACAAAATGTTCCCTATTGTCAAACTGCAACGGTTGCTCAGTCTGCAGGGCAATGGCTTCTTAATCGAAAAGACGTGGGTTCAAGTCATAACAGCGACAAACCCAATTCGATAGAAATAGGTATGACCCTGACTAAAAATTAACTTGTAATAACAATTTGCCAAGTAAATTTCCTTTTTAAATGGTTGTAAAAACATTCTGGGCATTGCAGAAAAAAATTATAATGAGATATTAGGCAAAGTAATATGCATATTTTACAGACCACACATCACTAGTAATATTTTATTAAAAATATAAAAGGTATATTAATCGAAGGATATATCAAATGTTAACAATTGCCATCCTGTCACATAACTCAGTCGGTAAGGTTATTGCTACGTGATCAGAAAGTCATGCGTTCAAACAAGAACAGCTACAGACCTAAGTCAATAAAGATAGGAAGCAACTGTTCCTTCGCCAAGAGCTCGGCACTTTGAAGTGAAATTTGCGGGTTTTTCGGATAAAACCTTAAAAATGAGGTCCTGTATTTTGGTTCACAAAATCCAAAATTTGAATGCTTGTTTTTTACATAAAAGTGTACTTATTTTAAAAGCATGATTACGTGATGTTTAAAATGTGTATTTACACCCCTACTTATGTCTTTTGTTTTTCGCTGTTCTGCAAGTTAAAAAACCCATGGAGTTTGCAATAGCTCTGGGAAGATGTAGTGAAACTACATCAAGGTGCTAACGGATGTAAGGTAAAATATTCACGAAAATGTATTCAGTAAGTGACTAACCCGTTGGAACATGGTGAACATGAAAAGTTATGAAACGCCTTAGTTTTTACCACAGTTTAATATCAGTAGAATTGTACCTTAATCTCTCTAGAATGCATTCAATCTTCAATAATTCGCAGCTAGGTTAACACCGTGTCAAACCGTTACTTTGAGGGAGTCGCGAAAAAGAACGAGGGAGTTGCTTTTAACACCAGGGGGAGTCGATTTTCTTCGATTGGAAATCCGCCGAAAGGTAGGTCACGCCTTTTTGTTGCATTTATAACCAGAATTTGCACAAATGTTATATCGCACGGAACAATATGATAACTAAGGTACCTGTACATCGGAAGTTTGCCAGGCTTAACCATGTAGTGTGCTCAAACACTTCGGATCTATTTTCAGTAGTCACAAATTTCACTTCATCGATGGCAAAAAATATGCATTAATGAATATTTACGAAGTATAACTAGATAGTAGGTGACCAGAATGTGTTATTATTTGATAATATTTATTGTTTGACAATCAGAATTTGGAAAATACTCGTTTAAGGTATGCACGGAGACGATTTCTAATTTCAGTCAAAGGTAATGGAGAAGGGAGTCGATCTTTGTTCATGATTAAGAGAGGGGGAGTATCAAAATACTTTGGATTCAAACGCAAAATATGGTGTACGACTGATTATACATTATCCTGCTTATTTGATTTAAAGATATGTGATGAAACTTTTCGATTTATATTTGCATTGATTATTTAATTTTACAGATGGAAGGGCAAGTTATGATTACCGAGATGGTGGAAATAATGCCACAACACAGGCCTGTATAATGCAGGGGAGCCCCCCCCCCCCCATTTTTCTGGGTATAGTACAGTATTTTGCTAGTTAGTAAATTTACTTTAAGATGATTGTTGACACCCCCCCCCCCTACACACACACGTTTTGTTGCTGTAAGGTCTTGGTTTGGGAGGTTGCCCCCCTCCCCCAACTTTTGAAACCGTTGCTTCGCGCCTGCAACAGGTTTTTGAATGCGCTATTTGTAAAAAAACATACACGTAAATTTATTTAGCCTGAAGAGGCCCCTACATGTACATTCTCATTACGATGGAAAAAAAAATTCAATGTCATTCTTGAAAATCATTTTAACAGAACTATTTAATGGAAAGACATCAAAAAGCCCATGATGACGTAAATAAAAAGAAAATTATTTGTGAAATGTATGGAGCTTCATACACAAATTTTTGGACCACCCGTAAAGTAAAGAAATTTTGAACGAAACAATTTTGTATCTTTTTTTTCAAAATCGCTTGGTTTCTGGCCTATAACACATTTTACTGGAAATTTCACAGTTTACAAAACCGCACTGTGTCCAAAAGCAGCAAAAATGCAATGCAATCTTTAGGATATTTTTCATTTGCAACAAGACGCAAAAATGATAAACTTTATTTGCAACGCCTTAATCGTAATTGAAGAGTTTCTCTAAAGTTTTTATAAGAAGGTCTTCTAATA